AGCTTGCAACATTCAATAGTGTTTCCCTACTAATCTAGATCTATTTTATATATAGTTTTGCTCAAAAATGCTTCAGCTGCTTATGGCACTGAATTTTATGTTGGAGCCATGAGAAACTACAGAGGAAATACTGATGAACTTCTTCTGTATGTCACAACTCCCTCTGTCTCTTCAGTTTCTTTTTCAATTAAAACTAACAATGGAATTATTGGTAGCTACAGTGTCAATAGCAGTGTCCCTGTTGATATTAGTTTATCAACATCACTTGTGACTAATGATGGCCTTTATTCCAGTCGTTTCAAAGGAGTATATATTTACTCAACCAATGGAGGATTAATCTCTGTACTAGTGGTTAATGTGCAACAATACACTTTTGGAGACTATATGGCCTACCCATATCAGAACTTGGCCCTTTCAGAATATCAATATTATGCTGTATCTACTGGAACACTTGCAACAAGTGATAATTCTTTGAGTGAAGTATTATTAGTTGGAAATGAAGATAACACAACTGTCACTGTCATTCCTACTCAAACTGTTTCTGTTCCTATTGATATTCAGACAAATAGTAACAATAAAACAGTGACTGCGGGCTCATCGTTCACTTTTACCATTCACAGAATGCAGACGTTTCTCATTGGTGCCCCATTACTTGACATCAGTGGAACCAGTATTGGATCGAACAAACCTTTGACGGTAATCAGTGGTCACGAATGTGGCAACATTCCACTTGTTTGTTGCTGTCAACAAATTGCAGAACAAATACTTCCAACAATAGTATGGGGCAATAAATTCCTTTTGACTCCTTATGCAACACGGTCTGTTGGCCCTTACTTTAAAGTTGTGGCAGCTTTAGGAAGCACTTCTTTAAATCTCACTTGTTCTGCTAGTGGAGGCAATAACTTCAATTTACAAAATGCAGGAGATGTCACTACTTTATATTCTAGTTCCAGTTACTGCTCCATTATTTCTAATAAACCAGTACTGGTGACACAGTTAGGACCAAGTCAAAACTCTGGTAGTGGTAATGGTGATCCAGTTATATCACTTATTCCCCCAATAGAACTGCATCAGCAGAACATAACATTGGTCATTCCTGGGTTTTCAACAATTACTAACAATTATATTAACATTGCCACAACTACAAAAGGTCCATTGTACATCAATGGCCAGTTACGATCAGTAACTTGGAACAATATATATAACAGTATGAGCAGTATTATTGGATATGGAACACAAATTCCATTTAACACAATCTCCACTTCATCCTCTTATACATTTTCTATGCAGACAAGTTTTACTGCACTAGTATATGGTTTTGATAACTACCATGGTTATTCTTATAGTGCTGGAATAAATCTAACAGGAAATGGTATGGAAAATATGTCATTATTACGCATATTATTATTTATTAGATCCTTGCTTAAGCAATAATGGGGGTTGTGACCAACTTTGTAATAGCACTTTTGGAAGTTATGCATGTAGTTGTTATCCTGGCTTTAGTTTGGATCTCAATGGATATAATTGTTCAGGTATAGTGCATAGTATTATGGTTACCTTCAATAATAGTATTAATTATATAGATATTGATGAATGTGCTGACAGTGCTTGTGAACATATTTGTGTTAATACCATTGGAAGTTATTCATGCTTTTGTCATGATGGTTACAGTTTAGATACAAATAATAGAAACTGCTCAGGTTTGCTATGAACCAAATACTGTATAGTTGGTAATTATGGACAGGTGAAATTTTGGCAAATTGCTAAATTTTGATAAAAAAGAGTTTTAATTTGATGAATTTGCGGCCATGTACCATTGAGCATGTGCATAAATGGTTCAAATTGGTGGGTTTAATTTGGTGAATGGCCATCAAGATGCCAAATTTGCCAAAATTTCTCCCTTTAAAATTACCAGCTATAAGGTATAGCATAATTTAGCTAGTTTAGCATTATTAATTTTATAAAATTGAGATTTGTATTTTTCATATAGCTTGTAGAATATAATTGTTCATAATTGTTTATTAATTACTTGTATAGATATTGACGAATGCACTGACTACAATGAATGTGAACATATTTGTGTCAATACTTTTGGAAATTATTCTTGCTTGTGTGATAATGGATACACTTTGGATGAAAATAATAGAAACTGTTCAGGTTTGTTGTGATGTGTATGATAGTATCATGAATGCTTGCATGCATGATCCTTGTATTGTTAATGTATGGCATTTTAAAGAATAATTATTTTCTCAGAACTTACAAGCTATGCTACAGAATTTAAAGTGGGATTTCTAAGGCAGTTTCGCTCAACTAGTACTTTGGAAATGTTGGTATACACTATGAGCCAAGAACCAGTTCCATTTACAATATCAAGTGCCTCCTCATATGGTTTCAGTTATACAGGAACAACCAGCATCAGTTCACCAAATTTAGTAAGCATCCCATCTAGTTTGCAAGTGAGAGAAACAACTTATTAGCTACCGTAATGTTGGGCTTTATGTAAAATCAATTTCTGACGTACCTATTTCTATTGTTCTGATTGGCCATATCAA